TTTTATTGTGGGTGGTTTTTCACAAAAAGTATTTTTAGTGGGTGATTTTTGACAAAATTTCGTATATTTAAACCTGATTGGAATTGATCATTAGTCCTAAAATTTAATTCCTCCGTTCCCATCATATTGCAACAATAGGGAAGACACGAAAATCAAATTGAGGAGAGATATATTATAGAGAAAAATAAAGATAGGGAAGATAAGATAGATATAGAGAAAACATGCAAATGTTGGTAATGTTGCAATATTTGTAAAACTTACTAAATGGTAATTATTGCAATATTAGGGAGACAGAGGAAGTATATCTTTAAGGTAAAAAGAATGCACCCCTACAACAATGTTAATGACTTTAATTTACCGCGAATCTTTGAGTAGTAAGTTTATGAGATAGGATACTAACTAGGATTGGTGTTACATTGTATTTAAGCTTGGAAAATGACATGATGGGTATTGTACCATCATGTATCTTGTAGATGAAGGGACAATTTAAGTGTTGTGTACATTGTTTCCTGAAATTCTTTGAACATTATACACGATTGTGTGAATTTTGTCATGTGATGTAATTGGAGACTATAGAGTAAGACAATTAGAAGTTTTTCCTAGTTTATCTCTGCAATATCAAATCATATTACATGTCCCAATAATATATTGAAGTTTCTTGATAGGAGGAACTTCAAGGTGATTGATTTCTACTATCTTGTTTGATTGCAATACTTTTGATTTTCATGGTATCAGGTGTTGCTTTACTATTCTAAATTTCTAATCTAGCCTATTGGCATTACGTATTTGAAAGGGGCCATAAAAACTCATAAAACTATTTGTTATTAATGTAATTTTTGTTCGTTTGTCTTCTTTGTTACTTTGAATTAATAATATTATTTTTTTTTAATTGAAGAGATGGTATAACAATATTTCTTCATCTCTTATTTTGAGCATGTTGATGCTTATAGAAAGTCTGGTGACTTATGAATGGCATAGTTGCTTCTTCAAAGAAAACCAACCCATCAAGTTCTCTTTGCTTTCTTGGTTGTTTATATTGGGAGTTCTTATGGTTGATGCAAATGCATCTACCTTAGGGATTCCCAGGGCTTGTTCGAAGCATTAGAATTAGTAAAGGAAATTTACATCCAAATTTGTGTGTGCATATATAGCTCAAGGGTTTTTTTTTTTTTTTTTTTTTTTTTTGTGACAATTAAATTTAAAAGTTATAATTCCCAAAAAATAAAAAAAATCATAACTCAAAACATTTAAGCTTACCTCTCTATGGCTATGCAAAACAGCATAAACTATAAACTGAAAGAGGGCCTTAAGATAACCCCCTTCTTGGAACAAAAACATGAACAAACTGGTAGTTAATAGAGGCATATATATCCACCTATATCTTTATGATGTTGGGATGCTTGTTGAGGCATGGACTTTAATTATATCTTTCAAGCTTTAATATGCTATGTAGGTGGATTTTTTTTTTTGAATTACCACATTTGAATTGCTGTTCTTTATCAGATATGACATGATATGATATTGACTAAGTGAAAGAAATGATATTAACTTCTACCTCATTGAAAACAAAAGGTGAAAAATCTAAAAATTGCTAGTATACTTGTTTTTATCTCTCTCATCCCTCTTTTTTTCCTTGCTTATTTACTGGCAACCTGACCAATGTGATTTTGGCCTATTATGAAATAACCCTTTTTCGACCTGATCCTCTTTTTCCTGGACTAACCTACTTAATAATCAGGTTTAGGCTCTGTTTGGTTCAAAATTATTTTTATTTGAAATATAATTATATCAATTTATCTGAAATGTTTTATTTTTCCTAACTTATTTTGTGTGAAGTTATTTTTTCTTATCTGTGTGTACATTGTTTAATATTGCTTGAAAAAATCTTCATTTCTCCAAGCTTATCTTCACTTATTTTGTTTGAAATAAATTAGAATAAGTTGAACAAAATATATCTTAGGACCAGGTGGGGATGATAATAGACAGAAAGGAGGAGGGGGGGGGGGGGAGCTGATTGTGGAATCTGGAAGATGGTGAGTGGTACTGTTGTCCATAACAAAAAGGTAACCGGTTAGGGGCAGCCAGTTTACTTACTTTGAAGTTCAAGAGAATAGAACCGAATACTAGTCAACGGGATCCAGGAAAATTGGTTTTTTCTCCTTTCCTGAAATTCCCCTATAAAACGCTTCCTATAAACAAGATATATGCAAATGATGATGCACTTGTTTTTATCAAATGTTTTTATACATTACCTGTGATTGTTGATGCATTCCAATGAGTCATTTAAATAAGTCATTTAAAGTCTGTTGAGTGTTGGTAGACATGTGATGTTAATTTTGATCTTTTGATTTATCTGGTTTAGCATTTTTAATTATATTGCTTGTGCAGGGGTTCAAGCTGAATTGATACTTGGTACCATTGCAAGAAATGCAAAAGAAGATGGCCATTCAGATGCGGGTTACTTGGAGGATAGAGTTAGCTTTAGCGAGGACAAGCTGATGGATGCAGATAGCAAGGCTGTTATGATGGCATGGGAGAAACCATTAATGGAGTCTCATGCAAAAGCCATTTGCTCTGGTGGAGGCCACGTGTTGAATATTGGATTCGGAATGGGACTGGTAGATATGGCCATCCAGCAATATCATCCTATTTCACATACTATTGTTGAGGCTCACCCAGAGGTTTATGACCGTATGCTTAGAAATGGCTGGGGTGAGAAAGAAAATGTGAAGATTTTGTTTGGTCGGTGGCAAGATGTACTTCCCCAACTTGAATCCTATGATGGTATTATGCTCTTAAAAACTTCTAATATTTCTTCCCTCTTATGACAATATCTTGAGGGTCCATGCTATTCATGCATTTGTAAATATTTCTAGCTTTTCGGCGTGTATCATTTATATATGGTAGTTTCTTTCACTGTTTGCAATCTTTGCAAGGCCTTAAATGCCAATGTGGCATATGTGGCCATGGCCAAGGTCGACTCTACACCTTGAATTGCTAAATTAGAAGCAGCAATGAGCTAGTTGATGGACTTCCTTTGTACTGAGACTACTGACGGAAGATTGGTTGAAGACTCAATGTAGATAGTGTTAAACCATCACTTTGGATATTGAACGTATCATGCTCCTATCATTATTAGGTTGTGTGCAAGTTGCTGCAGCAATGCATGATGAAAGACTAGACTTGATCATCATAGTGTTTGAAGTTAATGCACTTTACTTTCTGCTTATTTCTTTTGATGTTTGTGAGGTCTTATATCATGGTTTGATTGTAACTTATTGTGGGATACTTCACTTTCTTTTGTTTGCTTCTGTACTTTGATATTCTTAGTCTGTTCTTGTGCTTTCACTTTTTTGATAGTCTTGATATTTTAATTCAGGTATATTCTTCGATACATATGGAGAATACTACGAAGATATGAGAGAATTCCACCAACATCTTCCTAAACTGTTGAAACCTGAGGGTATTTACTCTTTCTTCAATGGTCTTTGTGGAGATAACGCGTTCTTCCATGTTGTTTACTGCAATATAGTTTCATTGGAACTTGAAAACCTGGGATATACTACGCAGTTAATTCCCTTGCCTGTAAAAGATTGCCTTGCGGAGGATGTCTGGAAAGGTGTACGACAGAAATATTGGCAATTAGATACATACTACCTTCCTGTTTGCCATTACACAGATGATTCTGTGTGACTTCTGAAGTATTTTTGCATGGCGTTTATGTGATGTCTTTTAATGAACATTGTTTGACCTATATAGTTGGTGACTTATCAGTCCTGCTGATTTATCAATATGTAATATCAGAAGCTTTTCTTATTGTTACGAACTGTTACTATGAATGAAACGAGTTGATATTCATTCATATGTCCTGCCTTGAATTGTATGGGTTTCATACTTTGATAACCGAGCAAGTTATTGGATTGTTATCTAAGTGTGGGTTTCATACTTTGATAACCGAGCAAGTTACTGGATTGTTATCAAAGTGTTAACAGTGAGTCGCTCATCGACATTGTTGATTTAATGATTATTAGGGAAGTTGTCCTCCTTATCTGGTATATATAAACCCGTGTTTATTAGGAAAACAATGAGATAAGTTAGATTACATTATTTTGTACAGATACTGTATTTTGATTCATTACCAACCCCCTGCATGCCTTATTTTTGTTACTGTTGGGGCCTTGGGGGAAATGTTACCTAATATTCTGGTTCCCCCTGCTAATTATGTATTAAAAATACGCATATGGTACTAATTTTATTTTAATAGAAATGTAGTCCATTTGAGGACTCTTAACTTTTGGTATCGAGAAGCGAGAGGTAATATAATATAAGTTGGTCCATGCTATATATATAAATGAAAATGTGATAAATATATTCAAACGTGTCAAAGTGAAAATAAAATTAGGACTACGTATTAGGTAACCCTGGTTTGGGGAGGGGTTACTGAAACTTAGGTGATGTTGGTGGCTATCCAATATACCAAGCACTTGGAAAATCAAATGAAATGTTATGGTGACCTTTTTCTTAATAGTTGAAAATCCAAAAGATGTATTGCTATTATTGGGTTTGGAGCATTTCATGTCTGTTGGGTGAAGGTTAATTTGCATTAGAGAGCTTGAATATTGGGTTTGGAGCATTTTAAAGATTAATTTGCACTTGAGAGCTTGAATATAATGAGTACTTAGCTTTTCAATTCCAGATTGTACTGTCAAACTCTAGCATAAGTTATGATTTTGTAGATGATATCTTGCTGTATCTTTTGTTTGATGGATTGAGGGTTTTTACATTTTTTTCTGTTCAGTTTTTTCTTTTATTTTTTAAACTGGAGGAAACTTTAAATTACTTGGGGCATGATATCTTCATATTCCTTCTCTTTTTGTTATTGTGCCTTACTGTTAACATCTCCATTGTCTCTTTACATCCAAAATTGTTCTTTTGTTACTCTGTCTTGCTTTTAACTTTCTTGATGATCTCTAATAAATTAAAAATTAAGGAATTGTACCTGGGTTAATTCAAACCATTTAGCATTTCATAGTGCAAGTATATGTGGTAATACATATATTACTCCTCCACAGTTCAGTCCAATGAAAATTATACATTTGTTCTGCGTACACTTTATGATTATTAAGTACTTGTAAACTTTGTTTACCTTGCTGAAATTGAAACAAGAGGTGAGAATAATTAAGTATAGGAAACGGGGATTATGGCCCTTTGCAACATTCATGTTGCACTTTTCTCATGTCCATGTAAAAGTGATTGGACTAGTCACTGTATGTCTCCCATCTGACCATGTTAGATGACCAAAACTGGTGGTGCCAGAGGGCATGGAACCAGCTGAAACTGTGACTATGAAACTCTTCTTTTCATTCATTCTGTTGAAACTCAACGATTCTGGCTCCACTCTAACCTTTATTGAGCCATCATGCACGGACATTGAAGCTTTGTATATTCCTGGTGATCCAACATTAGTAAGGGTCCTGGTATATTTGACAGAGTTCACTGCCCTACCGTCTCCATTTTCTGATGCTGTTTCTAGAGTGACAGCTAATGAAGGGTAGTTGAAGTCTCTGACTCTGTAAGTCTTGCCTGAGGAACAGCTGGATTCCTGGGAAGTGGTATGCTTAATTTGGTCTGAGCTGTAGTTTAGAGCACATAGAAAGTCAATGTAGTCGTTGACTGTGACATCGTAGACGAGGCCTGGATCAAGGGCTGCAATAGGGTCCACATGCCCTGCTCCATGATCAAATGGTGTTGATGGAAGTCCTGTGGCAACATCAATGATTGGTTTTCCGTTCCTATAGGCTGTGTATGCTGTAGTCATAAGGGCGGATTTGATGGCTGCAGGGCTCCATTCTGGATGGGCAGCCTTCACTAGTGCAGCAAGACCGCTTACATGCGGGCATGACATAGATGTTCCTGAAATGATGTTAAAGCTCACATGCCTTGTATCACTCTCCAACCCAGTTGGACCCACCCTGCCCGTCCAGCCTGCCAGGATGTTGACACCTGGAGCAATCAAATCAGGCTTCAGTATTTCTGGAGTAAGTGGATTGGGACCTCTGGAGCTGAATGATGCCACAACTGGTGATGGTTTCACGCCTAGCTCTGTCCCTGAAAAACCAATTGTTGCTGTTGGATTATCGTCGGATAAGATGTACTTCTTTATATCATCAGCTTCGTTTTGTCCAAGAGAAGCTGCAGGTATGAGGTGGGCATCAGCAACTAGTTCTTCTCCATAGGCTTCAGAATTTGCCAAGATCATACCCACACCACCAGCCCTCTTTACTACTAGACCTTTTTGGGCCCTCGAATTTCCCCCTCGATCACACACAACAATCTTCCCAGAAACATCTGCCGGATTTAAGCTGCCGCTCATGCAAAAATTGCCATTTGTCATGTTGCTTGCTTTCCCTGCATAAATAAGGGATAATAACTTGTTGGGAAGAGGCTTACCACTGTAAAGTGATGCACCAGTAAAATTCCTCCCATCTCCTAGGGTAACGTATGCTGGGAAATCACGGTCTATTGTACCAGCACCCACAGTGGTTATCCATGGAGCAACATTAGACAAGCTACCAGAGTCAGGTCCAGCATTTCCGGCAGAGCAGGATACCAAGATCCCCTTTCTTATTGCAGAGAACGCTCCTACAGCAACCGTGTCCATGTAGTAGTCAGAGATGCTGCCTCCAACAGACATGGACAAAACATTAACTCCATCATCAATTGCCTTCTCCATTGCAGCTAATATGTCAGAGGTAAAGCACCCACCTAGCCAGCAGGCTTTGTATACTGCAATTCTGGCATGTGGAGCCATCCCTCGAGCTGTCCCACTTGCATATCCAAAAAGACTAGCGCTGGTAGTGGCTGAACCAGCTGCTGTAGTTGCTGTGTGGGTACCATGACCGTCATCGTCCCTTGGTGATTTGCTTTCAGTTGATTCATCAATTGGTCCTAGAATAGCTTCATACCCCTTGCAAAAAAACCTTGCACCTATAAGTTTCCTATTGCAGTCTGAGGACTTGAAGTTTTTACCTTCCTCACACTCACCCTTCCAGCTACTGGGCACAGGGTCTAGCCCCATGTCGTCGAAGCTTTTAAGTTCTGGCCACACACCTGTGTCAATCAGTCCTATAATCACATCACTCTGTGAAGTAGAGGTTGGCAGGAGCTGATCACTTTCACCTAGCCCTAGCCCTAGCCCCAGGAACTCAGGTGTTCGTGTTGTGTGGAGCTCGTATCTTGTTTCAGGCACAATAGAGAGAGTCCCTGGTTGGCTCTTTAGTGATTTAGCTTGCTGTTCAGTCAGCCTCGTCGAAAAGCCATGAATTACACTGTTGTAGGTGTAGAGCATCTCTGCAGAGTCTGCAGCAGATTTAAGTGACGTATAATACCACTCATGATGGTGTTCGAAACTTGCTGGCATGTGGGACTTGTCCATATGTACTATGTAAGTTTTTCTCTCTCGATTTTCATGCTTTCTCTCTGCTATTGCATACCTGTGGTAGGAAAACAATAGCATATATATGAACATTAATTGGGATTGGTATTTCTGGATCTTCATAATTTCAGTCTTTGCTGTGTGCTTAATTTGGGTAGGAGAATGGTGGGTAGTTTGTATATATTGCCTTAAATGATTAACATTTAGCAGTGTCTAATGAATTTATATATAATAAGTCTTAGCTTGATTTTCTTTCTCGTGGGCTTAAAGTGTTTTGCAAGTTGTTTTAATCTTTTTTTTCATTTTTTCTCTGTGGCAAATAGTAAATTAGCAATAATGATTAGTGACAATATAGACGTAGTTTACTATAGTGATAGAACTTTAGATTTGGACCAAACAAAGCGCCCCTACCGGATTTGGACTGTAGTTGGCCACTTTTCTTTATCATAATTATTACCCGTATGTATTTTATTAATTACTCCCTTCATTTCTCTTTTGCAGCGGTATCATTTCATTTTTTAACAACTTTAAACAACATTTTACTAATTTTCCTTCCCACTAGTGGTTCCCTTTTATCATTTTAATATTTTTTATATTCTTTCTTCTCTTCAATTATACTCGTTATTGCTTTTTTAAATTTTTTTGTTTTTTATTTTTTTCAACCGACCTTCTTTCCATCATAAAATGATAGTTTCTTGTTTTTTTACTGTTCCTTTGAAAACTCCGTGCCCAAATAAATGAAGCAAGTACGGAGAAAGGTTTTTTTTTTTAGTATTTGTGAAAGGAAAGTGTTATTTGGCAACAACAAAGTATGACTACATTTGTTTATAAGAGTTTCCTTTAATAATTTGTAGGAATAACCTTATTTATTTATAAAAGTAACCTTATTTTGTCCATAATTTAAGGAAACCCAAATTCATTATCAGTGTGACTACATTTGTTTGTAATTCAATTTGTTTCATCAATTAATCTCTATATTTTGATTTTGACAAATAAAAGAATAATACTACTTATTAATAAGAGTAACCCTACATCCGGAAGGGTAATCCCATTTGATTTTCATCGTATCCTATTACTCAATTAATTGTTTTACATGTGAAGTGAGCATTCCATCAACTAATAGCGTGGCTAACTATGTATCAAAATTTGTAATTTGTGGAATGTTTTCGTTTTTTATTTGCAACACTGTAAATTGTAATGAACATTCAATACCATTTTTTTGTGGTGTATTTTGAAATTGGGTACTTAAGACTCTTGTAGACTGGTGTTATTACTGGTGATACCTTTGACAGTTAGTTGGTAATTATTAGGAATGATCATATCATAAGATTGGTGGTAGTAATTTGCAAAATGTTGCACTCTCTTTCTCTTACCTTAGTCGTTGTGTTAGCTTTTAACCAAATATATCTAACGCATTTCTAAATGTCTTAGGCCCTGTTGTTATCAGATTATTTTCAATTCAGTTCAGTTCTAATAAGTTCAGTTTAATTCAATTCAGTTCAACTTCCAATTTTCTTCTCTCATAAAATATTCATTTCAGCTCAGCTCAGTCAATGAATACAAATCCTTAGTAGTTTAGCTTATACTGTCTTTGTGAACTTATTTACTTTTATTTATTTATGCAAATTTTTAATGATGACCTTGATAAACCTTATTTCTTTACCTTTACATATTTCTTTTAGTTTTTGCCTATACATAGCTTCAGGACACTTTCTATCATAACTTTTGAAGCTTTACATGTCATTACACTGTCTTTAAATTTTCCTTACGACAAAAATAACCATTTTTAGTGTGTAGAGAAGAAGGAATTTGATTTAAAGTGTTTTGGTATGTGTTTTGTCATGATCTTGAGCTTCATGACCTTGCTAAGATTGCCGTGTTGTGAATACATATAATCTACTCCCTCCATCCCCGAATAATAGTCCCTTGTGGGCAAATTTTAGTCTCAAAATGTTTACCCTCATTTACTTTTTCCAATAACCATTAATATTAATTTTTTTACCAAAATTCCCTCCAATTTTGCAACAATATTTGCGCAAATTTAAATTTCTCATGTAAATTTTGTTTTTCCGTGCACTTTTATTACTTTTTCTCTCTACTTTTTTGCATATCCTATGTCAATTTACTTTTTCAATGTACTTTTACTATTTTTTTTTTTTTGAAAACTTTACTATTCTTATTTGTGTTTATTAATTTTCATGAAAAATGCCCCAAAGGTACTATCAATAGAGGATGGAGGGAGTAATTTCCTCATCATGTTTAACAAAATAAATAAATAAATAAATAAATAAACAACCTCACAACCATGCACTCTTTAATGCCAGAGCAAGTTTAGCCTCAAGTTTTAAGACTTGGGGTGACATCATCATTTTTTTTTTTGACCGGTAAACTACTGGGAGGGGCCCCATCCTATCTCAGGAGTGGGGCTGTGAGGAGTCGAACCCCCATCACATGGGGGGCAGATGGAGGGACCAACCATCCCTCCATCCCATCACTCCTCAATTGATATCATGGCAAAAGTCTTAAGACTTATGCTTAAGACTTTTCCCATTTTTTTCAAAAATCTCAAATAAGTCTCAAATTGAGTCTTGAAATTTCAAGACTCAACTTAAGACTTGAAATTGGGAACCACTACTCACACCTCACGTTTATTTTTATTATCCTTTTTTTTTCCTTACACTTTTCTACATATAATATGTCAAATATTTAAGTCTTAGGATTAAAGTGATAAATTTGTGTAAATCTTAGTGAGTCTTAATAAGAATTTGATGACATCATTTTCAATGGGGACCACCAAAAATAATGTCACATCCAAGTTTTAAGACTTGGGGCTAAATTTGCTCTAAAAAAATCATCTAAAGCTAATTTCAATTTGTTAAAAATATTAGCTTAGTAAAATTTAACTAATGTATTACAAAGAAATGATAATTTGACAATATACTGTATATTTCGAAAGTATTCTTATCTCACTCACTAAAGTGATCATTGGGCAGGTCAGGCCGGGCCAAGCTAAAAATTTATGGCCACTTCTTGGGTTGGGTCGGGCCAAGCTTTGGGCCCGAATGTTTGTGCCCAAATCCGTCCAAAATGGTCGGGCCATTCGGGTTTTTTGGGCCATTTTTCGGCCGGGCCTAAAAAATCAACTAAATATGCATAAAAACGTATCCCTAAACCCGCTCAAAAAAATTAATTTTTTGTGTCGGAAAATTCTACCCAAGACCCGCCTAAAATCGGGGCGGGCTAACCTTGATCGCCTCTACTTTTTCCGCTCTATCCACAAAGTATGATTTAAAAACTTCTACTATCCATTGAATTAAAGATTACCTATGGACGGACTATGGAGTACTTACTAACTATAAAGACCCTACTACAAGTCATCACACAATAAGAATAAAGTAAATTAAATTTACTTAAAACTTTATGCTGATTAAATTGTGTAAATTATATAAGCAGCGATACACATACACATACAATCATTATATGTGGTCCCTACATACAATACCATTAGAAATTTGACACATTATAAAAAAAGGAAGAAAACTAGGAGTCAAATATAAATTGAATTCAAATGGAACTTGGACCTATAATTTTAACTAATAAAAACATGATAAATTGTGGTTTTATGTAGGGACCACATACAACAATTGTATGTATAGAGTGAGTAATATTATGTTTGTGGAATGCTTATAATAGGTTCAATCTAGGGACTTGTTATTCATCGCCCGCAAATCTCTACATAAAGCCCACATTTTATAATTTTTTGACAAATTTGCCCTTTTTATAATTTTAACGGAAGATAAATTTTTCGCACTAAAAAAATGTGGAGCAGCACCGGATCGCCGAGGATCACCGGAGAATCGCCGTCGTCATCGGAAAACGAGGTTCGTAACGCATCGTAAGGACGAAATGGTGGCTGGCGCCTAGCCAAAAGGCCATGCCGTGGTTGTGGCGCCTAGCCAGGACGCCGCCACCGTGGTCACGGCGCCTGGTGGAGAAGCCTCGACCATAGTAGTGGCGCGTGGCCAGGACGCCGCAGCCACGGCTAAGGCGCCTGGCCACCACGCCGCCACCATGGCGGCGGCGTCCTGACCAGGCGCCCCGGCCGTGGCTCCGGCGTCCTGGCCAGGCGCCAGTAGGGGAATATTTTTTTTTTTTTTTTTTTTTTTTTTTATTTTATTTTTTAATTTAATCCCCTTTTTTTTTTTTTTGTTTGTTTTTATTAATTTAATCTTAACGTAATTATATTTATACGTTATATGTTATTGTTACAGGATTATGGTGGAGACGAAAATGATTACAGTGGGATTTTTGTACATGATGGCCTGTTCGAAGATGCTCAACAAGCGATTGATTGGGCAAAACAGGTTGCAATTAGATCAGGCTTTTGTTTAGTAGTAGCAACTCATAAATCTCAACGGGATGGTAGAATGGATCGCATTTTGAGATGCGACCGTTATCGCAAAAGAGAAGAACGAGATTTCAGTAAAGCGATTCGGTTTGACTCAAAGCGGAAAGGTTGTGGGTGTCAGTTCCGAGTTAAGGTTCGACAACATCAAAGGCGTGACGGTTGGGAAGTGAAGGGTTACGACAAATGGGGATATCACAACCATGAGCTGATAGCATACAAAGTGGGGCATCGGCAGTTAAGCGGCCTAAGTCCAGCTGCGAAACTAGTTGTAAAAGAAATGAGTGATGCTCAAGTGAAGCCCGCTAAAATATTAGCGTCTGTGTTAGAGAAATTCCCCGAAGACCAGCCAAACCGAAGACACATCTACAACGTCAGACAGAAATTGAGGTTTGAACGGTCAGAGGGAAGGAACCCTATACAACAGCTTCTGCACCAGGCACAAGCACGTGGTTACCTTTACTGGTTTGAATCTGACGAAGACACATCGGAGGTAACTCATTTGTTCCTTGTCCATCCTGATTGTGCTGATATGATTTCGTCTTGGCCATCTGTGATTTTGATCGATTCAACGTACAAGACAAACAAGTACAAGTTCCCACTGGTTGAGATGGTTGGGATGGCTCCAACGAACCAGAACTTTCTGATTGGTTATGCAGTCATGAAGGATGAGACGGCTGCGAGTTACCGTTGGGTGTTGGAAAAGTTGAGAAATTACATCGGCCCAAATGTACAGCCATCGGCCATCGTAAGTGATTGTGAGGGAGGTCTTTTTGCCCCTATAGCGGAGCTGTTTCCGGAGTCGAGCCATTTACTGTGCACATGGCACATCAACAACTGCGTGAAAGTCAAAGCCTACAACCTTTTCAACAAGAACTTAGATTCAGCAGAGAGATTGGTAAATGGTAAGTGGCGGAAGATCCTGCAAGCTACCACGGAGGCAGAGTACGATCGAGCCTTGGAAAACTTAAAGGATGCGTACAAGTGGTGCCCGCCAATCGTAGACTATGTGATGCATCAGTGGGTACCTCAGAGGGAAAAGTTTGTCAAATATTGGACGAACCAAGTTCTTCATTTTGGGAACACTACGACATGCAGAGTCGAGAGCGCTCATAGAGCTTTGAAGGACTGGATTGATTCTTCCACGGCTGCTCTGGATACACTGTTCGAGAGAATAAACAAGGCTATTGATACTCAGAGGAACGGCATCAAGAACTATCTCGAGGACTCCAGACGACGACATGGCATGTTGTATGGCCATTTCATATTTAAGATTCTCAACGGTCGTGTGTCACACCACTGTTTGGGGTTGATTCTGAGCGAGTATACCAGGATGAGGGAGTTGGGCGATGAAGTGGCTATTCGGTGCGGATGTGCTATATCAATGACTCATGGATTACCTTGTGCATGCACCATTCACCGCGTAATTACGCAAGACAGGGCGTCGTTACATGTCGATCAGGTTCATCCATTCTGGCGGACGCTCGTTATCGGAGAGCATGCTGTTCCGCATACGGTTCACCGTGAACAGGAGGAGTTGGAGCAGTTTCAGATGATGTTTGACCAAGTGTCCTCCAGTCACCCTTCGATCATTCGTAGTGCTACACACATACTTCATGACATGTTCAATACATCGTGTTTGGATACCGAGGAACCGGAAGGGGTCGAGCGACCTAGGGGTCGACAACCACGGCGGAACAAGAGTGCGTTTGAGTACATTCGCGGTCGTGGCCGTGGCCGTGGCCGTGGTCGTACATCCTCATCAAGTGGCAGCCAATCATCGTCGTCGGTGAATATGCCCGGCACCGGTAAGACATTCGACTTCAATTTCTTTTGTTGACTATTTGATTAGTTTACTGTTGACTTGTTTATTGTGTTTATTGATGTGTGTAACAGGGAGAATGGACATTGAACATTTTCCATATAAGGACAGGATCCCTAATATCATGATGCCATTCTTGGACGGGTGGAATGATGTCATTGCAGATGGTAACTGCGGATTTCGGGTTGTGGCGGATGTGTTTCAAATGGGTGAAGACAACTACGGTTTAGTGCGGCAGTTGATGTACAGTGAAATCGCATCAAACCGAGATGTGTATGGCCATGTGTACGGCGAGGACTTGGATAGGTCTCTGCAGCGTATCCGGTGGGGAGGGGGACCTTGCGGTCAAAATCATTGGTTCGATGCGCCACTTGATCTCTTTGCCGTTGCAAACATCTACAAGTGTGCAGTCATGCATTTCGGCCTTGGTTTACATAGTCGAGCCTATTATCCATGTACAACGGTTCTGCCCTGGTGTTCGCGCGAGACCGTCACCAGACCGGTAAGGGACGTTGTTATTGGATTTCTTGGGCCGTCATACAGACATTTTATCCGATTAGACATGTCACCCGATTTTCCGGTCCCAAATATCATACCGAAGTGGTATGAAATTCGTAGAGCAAGCGTGGAGGGTTGGGATGCTTTGTACCATGAGCGCTGCGGCATGTACGCCTCTACGATCTCGCGATACTGAATCAGTCCAGTGTAGAGGGTCCTGGGTACCCTATTACTAGGGTTCTGGCCAAAAGGCATCCAGTTCACCTGCACATTATTTAAAATCAGTAACAGTCATAAAATAAAGCATCAGATTGTAAAAGTAGAAATAATTTAATCACTGTACCTCTAAGGGGGACATCCTGTCAAGCGATAACCGTATGGAGCGCAGGCGGTCAACGGACTTCTTCTCGACACGCGGACTCCACGCACAGGCACGTGGCTGGCCATCACCAATGGGAACCGGGTCGCGGTGTGGTCGAAACGCAGGAAAATACTCGTATATCCAGGTCTGTAACAACGTCAGACATCCAGTGATACCTGCTGCATCAGCCCGGCTCGAGAATCCTAACTGGCGATACAGATACGCCAGCGTAGCCGACCCCCAAGAAAACTGGCCTACTCTGTCGGGCTCACACGCGTCAACTATGTCGCGTGGCCTGAGCTTGTTCCCGCTCTTATCCGGAAACAAGGTACACCCGAGAAGAAGAAAAACATATGCAGCCAGCTGTGTGTCCTGCGTCCTACGTGCCGTAGGGTGCAAACATCGCTGCAAGACGGCTGCGATCTTAACGTCGCCGTGATCCCACACACCAAGTGCCGATGTGTACAGCGCAGCCCTATCCACCGCCAACAGCTCCGCTAGTAAATCTGCCTGATCCGCATCAGTGACGACAGATGCTCGGTTTCCCTCCACGGGAATCCCAAGGATGGCCTCGACGTCATGCAACATGATCGTCATCTCACCGAACGGAAGGTGGAACGAGTTCGTATCCGGCTGCCATCGCTCAACGAAAGCCGTGATCAGCGTCCAGTCAATCCTATCGTGCATGGTGGCAGGAAGGTGACTCACTCTAGTGGCCCTCAATCGCCCGACCATCTCGCTCTCCTCCGGCCAAGCATCAGCCCAGCTACACAAAAACCTACAAGTCTTTTCCCGGGTTTGGCATTTCAAAATGCCTGTATCCAAAGCCCTCTCCTGGTCCTCCCAAATACGGGTAGCGATGTGTCCTAAAAAGCTAGGAATCACACTCCCGTCTATAGGTCCCCCGGCCACCTCACCCCTCACCATCCAAGAATCATTAACGGCCCTCGACCGTTTTCTGCTACCCGCAGACACAGTGGACGCAGATGATGTGCCAGATCTACTAACAAACCTACCATCTCGACCCTTACGCACATCTACCCTATGCGTCTCATACGTATCATCAAGTCTCTGACTGAATGGACCGTAATCATCATATGGTCCACTCTGATCGTCGACATCCTCATCTGCATCATCCTCGTCCTCGTCCTCCTCCTCCTCGACCTCCTCCTCCTCCTCCTCATCATCATCATCATCATCTTCATCGTCCGCAGAACAGTGCACCCGTTCTCTGCGGGCCGAGGCCGAAATACCACGGGATCTAACGTGTCTGGGCCCCGAGCTCTCCATTGAGTAGATCGTACTCCTCACGACGTCAATACTCTTCCCCGCACCAGGTCTAAATTGCGATGCCTAACTCCAAGTAAATAACGAAACATAATAACGAAAACAAATTAAAAAAAGTCGAAAATAAACACAAAAGCAAATAAACAAGTCACGGAAATAAAATTATAAACATAAAAAATATAAAATTAAAACAAATAAAAAAACAAAATTTAAAAAAAAAAGATAAAAAAAAAAAGGGAACATACAATTTAAAAAAAAGAAAAACAAATTTTTTAAAAAAAAAAAAAAAAATCGAAAATAAAATTTAAAATTAAAAAAAAAAAAAAAATTTAAAAAAAAAAAAAAAGAACGAGGCGCCTAGGCAAGGCGCCCATACGGTGGTGGCGGCGCCAAGCCCAGACGCCACTACCACGGCGGCGGCGCAGAGGCTCGGCGCCACAGCCGTGGTAGTGGCGTCTGGGCTTGGCGCCGCCACCACCGTATGGGCGCCTTGCCTAGGCGCCTCCGCCGTGGTGGTGGCGTCTCGCCTTGGCGCCCCACCGTCGCCGGAGGTTTTTTTTTTTTAAAAAAAATTACAAAAATTAAAAAATTTACCTTCTGGCCGGCAAACCGCCTTCCGCCCACCGCCGGTGCCGCCACTTCCTTGCCGGGCCGCCTCGACATAGCTCTGGAAATAATTTAGAGAGAGAAAGTGGAAGTAGAGAGTAGAGAGAGAAATTGTGTGTTTTTTAGTATGAGGGCAAAAGTGTCATTTCACTCTTATTTTGTGGGCTTTATGTAGGAATTTGCGGGCGATGTTTAACAGTTCACTAGATATGGCTTCTATGTCTTACCTTACGAGTGATAATTGGCTTAACTTGCAAAATGATCAAAAGCGTACTTTTACAACCAATTAACTTGAATTAATTGTCAACATTGATATAAATTTATAAATGCCTTCCATGTAACAATCCACCATATAGTAACTTCATATTCTATAAATGATTTAAAAATCCTTAAGGGCTTGCCCAATAATTTTTTTAACCATAGGAAGGTTTTGTACTTCATGCTAGGTGGTATAAAATTCAACTTAATTTACAATATCCAATTGTTGTGGTATAAAAAGGAAGATTAAACGACAGAGTAGAAAGAGACATTTTGATTAGACTAATGATTATTATTGGTATTTGTTTGTTATGGCCTTTTCTTAAGAGATGATAGCTGGAAATTGGCCACTCAACTGTTTCGTGTGGCTATTTATGTTGACGCAGAAATTCCACCCAGAACGTAGGCAATTCCACTGGTAGTTGAAGTATCTTATAATATTATATAGATTAATTGGATGACAAAGAGTAAAATTTAGTAAGCAATCAACTTTGTAGATAGAGTGCTGCCTTGTGCTCTTTACCAATACAAATTAGATTGGTCTGTTGGTGTTTAAACTAAGGTGTAGGTTTAGAATGGTAAAACCCATATCTCATGTTTGTTTAAGGAAATTTCAACCCGTGCCAAAAAAAAAAAAACAAAAATTCAATCCCGTGTCTCTAACTCACTGGGTTTAGGGTTTAGAAAATTAAGGATAGAGGTGGGTATAACTCATATCATACCTTAGCGTATCAAGAAAAATGATCACTACGCCATTCCATTAAGGGATTTATTCAGGCTTGGATTATTTGTATTGATATAGTCATTTATGCCACATTATGCCCTTGCATTCTTTTGATTATGTATTCGACATTATTGTCATTTAGTGCTTTCATATTAAAAGGTCATCGAGGTTTTGTTTGGCATATATGTCATTCAAAATCTCTATAGTAGCGTAGGATTAATAGTGTTCACTACTAGAAATAGGTCGATTTTCGACGGACACGTAATTCCGTCGAAAACATCATAAATTCCAACGGATTTTAATAACTCGTCGGAAATTTACGACGGAGTAAAAACCGTCGGAATATATGGGCTTTCCTACGGAATGTTCCTTTGGAATATAAATTGAATATAAAAAATAAAAATAAAAAATTACCTTTTAAAACCATTACCGACACACTTCCCCTTCATTTCTTCTTTTCTCTTTCCTCTCTCCTCATCCTCTCTCTTGTGCTCTTCTCTTCCTCTCCTCCTCCTCCTTCATTTCCTCTCTTCTTTGATTCTCTTTCTCTCTTCTCCTGTTCTCTCTCCTCTTCTCCTTCTCCTGTTCTCTTTCCTCATCTCGTTCCTCTGTTTCTCGTCCTCTTCTCTTAGCCTTAACACCTCACGCATGAAAACTCGACTGGAGAATTAATTTTTTGAACAAAGTAAGGTTTTTCATGTAAAATTCGATCATAAAAACTCTAAATCTAGAAATTTATTACTTATTTTTGGTTTGTGAGATTTTTTTTTTTAATTTTATGGTTTTTGTTGAATTGCAGTGGCGGTGGTGGTGGGGGGTTTGAGTTTGGGTAATTGTGGTGTAGATCTAGGTTTGGGTTTGTTGGTGGTGGTGGTCTTAGGTGGGTTTAGGTCAGGCAGGGGCTAAGGGTTAGGGTGGGTGGGTTAATTTGGTGACAAAGAGGTGGGTTTGGGTGGATCTGGGTATGGGTTTGGTGTTGGTGCTGGGTTTGTGGTGCCTATGGGCTTAGGTGGATTTAGGGTTCGGGTGGGGAGAGTGGTGGTCTGATGGTCTGGGCTTAGGTTTAGGGTTAGGGATAGGTTTAGTTAGTGGGTGGTAGTGGCGGTGGTGGTCTGACGTTGAAGTTAGGGGTTGTTGGTGGTGATACGCCAAGCCAGTGGTGGTGCAGTTTATTTTTTTTATTTAATTTTTTTTTTATGTTGTTTTCGATGGAAGGGACCCTTTTTCCTACCTATGAAATGGGTTTTTCGACGGATTTCATGGTGTTTTCGACGGAGTTTTTCCGTCAGAAATGAGCTGTTTTCTAGTAGTTCTTGTACATGTTTACCAACTTACCAAGAGTCCCGTAATGGTTCAGTAGACAACTGATTATGTCTCCCGAACCCAAACCGGATAATGAGTGACTTTTCACCGCCATTTAGTTTGGTTGCGTATATGCAGGTGTCAATTGAAGCGTATTTATTTTAACATGTTGTGAATGTGCGTGGAAATCAACATAGGAAGTCGAATTTGACATTATAACCATTATATCACTTGTGATAAGTGTCATTTATGGCACTTGTATAGGGTAGCTCCCGCTGAGCTAGACACATACATTTTTTTACTTATCCATTATTATCCACTTAAGACCATACTAACTTAACCATCGAAGGTGGGTTCCTCAAAAACGCCCCCGAGGCATAACCACCGTTATTGTACAGGTGAATCATGATCGACGTCAAGGCCAAATACCCAGCCAGGCTTCGCAGCTACACCTTGAACATTACTCATTTGATGAGTTTTAGGTTGTTTTTACCTTCATTTTATAGCTTTCTTTCTTAAATGCTTGATTTTGTTCATTTGCTCTTTAGTTTCCTTATTCTTGCTTATTTTGTGTTTTCGTCCACTTTTGTGGATTTTTAGTGTTTTTTCCTTTTATTTGTTCTTGTTTATAGATCTGTCACGATGATTTTCCGGGTTGGAAGTGGCTCAAGGTGCGAAGTGGAAGCTTAATTATATCTCACAAAGCAAGAAATGGTTTACTCCAAGACAATGTTTGCGCTCTCATGAAATCATGGTGTTAAACCCATCATAAACTTCATTTCAATTCTTCCATGTCTAGTGACGATCATGAGGAACGCACCACGTACATCACGCACGCACCGAAGTAAGTCCCCTGCTCTAGCAGCGCAGACGCGCTAAAAAAGTCTTGTAATGTCACGACAAAATCCGTCGCGCCACGGCCGTTGCGCGGGCACGCCCTTCTAGGACCTGTTTCCGTACCCTGATTATCGCTGGCGCGCCTGACTTGGTCTATTTCGGAATATTTGCCTTTTTTTGTACTCTATATAGCTTTTCTTATTTCTTCATTATGAAATTTTTAGATTTCAATTCTTAGCTTAGTTAAGAGTTTCTTTCTCTGGTTTAGGGTTAGTTTTAGGAGTAGTTTTAGAGAGAGAAAGTGAGGGATTTTCATGGTGATTTGAGATATTGAAGATGTAAGGGTGACAATTGTATCGAAGATCTTCTCAATAATCGATGAGCATTTCTTACTGTATATTATCTTATTGCTTTGTTTAATTTCATGTTGTTTGAGTTAGTTTTGATGCTTAGCTTGAATCTTGATCAGAGTAGTTATTGTTGATGTTTTATTGATTCTTGATTTCATTTACTTGCTTGTTGATTAGATAATGATTGTTAGTGAGTAGTTGTTTTGCTAGAGTTAGGGTAAAACTTTTATGATTGATTGATTGATTGATTGTGACAAATTTGGGAATTATGTTGGTTGATTGTTGAGATTAAAGTGATTGATGTAAGTTTACATGTGTGTAGTTTGATTAGGCCTTGAGAACTATGCTAGATTTCATTATTGTAGATTCTAACGACAAAACCACTTGATTTAGGATTAGCAATTGTTGATGGTTTGAATAATGATTCTCCTAGTTTATTATTTATAGAGGAAACCTAGGTTAACGATTAGGAGATAGGCAAATAGCTCTTTAATTCTAATTGACAGCTCTTATCATTAGTTTTCACAACCATTGATTAACTTGACTTTCCCAAATTGATCCCCATTCTCTAGTGTTTCATTTGTTTGCTTCTTTGTTTTGGTAGTTAATTAGTATTGATTACTATAACTTTAACCTTTGACTTCGACCTAGCTTAAGTGCACATTGAAAGCACTTGAACATAATCGTTCCTAGAGGTTCGACCCTTGACTTACCTCTATACTTGTATTTAGATTTGTTAAGTGATTATAAATTTTTTTGACCTTAGGGAGGATTATATTAGTCAACGACCTACTTCACCCTCTGTCAACTTGGGGGAGGAATTATGAAAGATTAGAATATAAAAGATTAAGAAAAAAAAAAGAGAAAATTAGAATATGAGAGTTGAAAAACGATGTTTAACTCTGTCGTAACTTTTGAAAGACTATATTATTTATAAAGCACAAGTTAAAAAGAGGATAAAATTTGCTGGAATAAATGGTGTGACAAAACTACCTTTGATTTGTCACGATAGAAAATATCACAATGCGACAAATCTGGTAGCTTAGTGCGTAACTTTCCAATTTCCAAAATTCATACCAAACGCCCCCTTAAAATAGGAAAACAAGTAAACCAATTTACTTGACAAACTTGAATGATTTTAGTTTTACAATCGTTGACTGACCAAATGAACTCCGTTTCTAATAAAAAACTTAGGGATAATAATAATGATGATGATGATGATGATGATAATGATGATAATGATAATAATAATAATGATGATAATAATAATAATAATAATGATAATGTTAATGATAATGATAATGATAATGTTAATGATAATGATAATGATAATGATAATGATAATGATAATGATAATGATAATGATAATGATAATGATAATAATGATAATGATACAATTCATTGTTCAAATTGTTCTATTTTTTTATACACATTTCTACTGTTAAATTCATTGAGAAAATTAGAGTACTACACAACTTAAACTAATTTTCATAATCGGTTAGTTCTTCGTCTTCTTCTTGTCCACCAAGCTCCTCCATTACCTCGGCATTCTTCTGAACTGACTCCCATATCTGATCAACTATTTCTTGTCGTACAATATCCATAGCTACTTTTTTGTTAGGATCGTACATAGTGTGATCTTCTCTTCGCTCCATGACTTCAACTTGGTGCGTGAATGGAATCCCTAGTTCATGTTAACGAATAAAATTGTGTAGAGTACAACAAGCAACGCTTATTTGCAACTGAAAACGTAATTTTATTTTTATTTTTTTTAAAAAAAAAATTAAACAACAAAGTGTTTTGTGTTCTTTTGTCATAATACTATTTTATTTTTAAATTATATAGTATATGTGTTTAAAATGTTTTGGGGTTTCATGTTTATAATATATTTTCCATAAATATTATAATTATATAGTATATTTTTCATAAATATTTTAATATGTACATATATATATACACATATGTATAATAATAAATAATCAAAGATCACTAATCCGTAGTTAAAAATCACTAATTACTAAGTTCAGTTCAGTTCTATTCATCTCAGCTTAGTTCAGTTCAGTTCAGTTCAGCTGATTTCAGCCAATGAGAATAGGCCCTTACTTTCTTTAGATGGTCGTCCTGCCCTTTCCAAAAGCATTTTATAAGACTTATATTATCCTTGATTTTCAAGATCTCTCCGCTCTAGCATAAAGCCCTTCCAAAACTAAAACATGACTAACAACTCCTAAGTCCTTGAATAATAATCTAAAAATAATGGTTGTGATAAATACTACAAAATAAATACAAATTAACGCTTTCTCTCTCTAAGTTGAGAGCTCTTCTCACTTCAATTGTGAGTCTTCTCGATCAACGAGCATTTTGCATGTTTGCATGCTTTTTTATTGGTTGTTGCTTGTTCTTCCTATCTCGAAGGATTACTTCTGTAGCTTGCAAAGGCTATTACCTTTCTAGGTTTATTTGTTGCAGAAAATCTTTCATCTTCTACTCTTCATTCAAGAGTCTGCACCAATCAATTTCGTTGCTTAATTAATTTTCTTCATCTTGAGCCCCGTTTTTGTTGTTTCTTGGTCTGAGTATTCCCTATTTATTACACTTTTCACGCATGCAATATAGGAACCAAGTTACTTAATCTTCTGGTTTTGGCTATAAATGCTCGGAGTTTAGGTACAGTTTAAGCATATCCTCTTCTCTCTTCTTTACTCCTCTGTCCTTTCTTCTGTTTATACTCTTTGCTTGGGTATTTTTCATTTTTTCGTCTGTTTTATTCTCTGTTATGGAGAATAATCCTCCTGATTCAGTTTTTTGAATGGGGGACTTGGTCCCTACTCCACAAAATAATCAACCTCATGATAGAATTAATTACTATCGTTGTGTTATTGGAAGCTTTGTGGGTCACAATCCACCATCTGTGGAATATGTGCAGCACGTGGTGAACTCCAGGTGGGTTCATAGAGGGCATATAACAGTTCATAAAATAGGGATTTATTTCCTGTTTGACTGTAGGAAACAACTGGATATTCGGAGTATTATAAGGGAGCATACGGATGTGTTCGATGGCAGAATAATGGTGTTCTGCCATTATGAACCCTTGGATGTCCCGCAGCATATCGAATTTGCCATAGCGCAATTATGGATAAGAGTTTATGGCTTACCTTTTCCATTTCTAACTACTCACTGGGCTCGTCAAATTTTTGAGCGTATAGGGCGCATTGATACTCTCGATCAGATCAGTGATCGAGCGTCGCGGTTCTCGGAGTTGCGTGCGAGAATGATTATTGATCTTTCTCAACCATTGATACCGGGGTGCTTCCAGTCAGTGAGGAGAAGGTTGTGTGGGTTTACTTTCGATATGAAGGGGTCTTTAAATTTTGCAAGCAATGTGGCATGGTGGGCCACTCAACTAGGAGGTGCAACCTCACTTCTCAGGTGGCTAGGCGCAGGTTGCGTCAGAGAATGGCAGCGCGTGAACAGAGTGGCTTGAGGGTGCTGTACGATCCAATGGACCAGCCTTTTTACACAAATTTGATTCATGGTCTTCCAGATCGCTACATTTTCTGAAATACGGCGGTTAATCTCTGGCGATTTGAGAAACCGGAAGACTTGTATGCGGAGATGCGGCGCCAACATGATAATGATATCACGGGGTCGGAATTTGATCAGTCTTCTGTGTCTCGTGATACAGAGGTTTTCTATTCGGGTGATGATGATTTAGATGATGATTCGGATAATAATGGGGAGGTGGATTTTGCACCGAACCTTTCTCTTTCTCCGGGTCGGAGGTATGGTCTGTCGGAGGACCCATATGCTCAGTTTTATCCGCCGCGGCGTGCGGATGCTGCTAGGTCGGAGTAGCAGGGGAGGGGCATCCCTACTCTCTCTTTGGGCAACCCACCACGGTGGAGCCCAAATTCCAGAATTCATCGGGTCGGGTGTGATCCGGACTCACCTCCTCTTACGCGACCCCGATTTATGAACTCCACCTTCGAGGTGGGAGAATCTTCTAGGCCAAATTTTGGGAACTCAGTTTTCGAGATGGGGGAATCTTCTGATGTGGCGGGTCGTCAAAGTTCAGTTGGCCCCACTCTTTTTCAAACTTTGGGCATTGACGAGTGGGCTACGATCCCTTTCAATCACTTAAGTCAATCGGTTCAGACCAAGTTATTGCAAGAAATTCCTAATCTGGGTATTTCGGCTTCAACAACAACAATGAACACTGCTGATCTTCTTCAATGCAGGGCGTTTTCTCCTTCGGCGCCAAGGTAAACCATATATCTCCTTCCTCTTTTTCCGCTTTCCCTAATGCTATAAACGTAATTGAAACAGGAAGAAGATTGGTTCATTCTCTTCGCAATGGCCGTGCATCTTCTCGAGTTTACCCGGAATCGATTCCGGATACTTCTCCTTTCTTTGAACCAAAATTTTCGCTGATGCCAATGATAGAATTTGACCCTCCTAATTCTCCTATGTCTCAAGCAGATTTGGCGGGGGGTCATGGTATTGCTACTGTGTTGGATAACAACCAGTTTTGGCCGCGTAAAAGGGTTCGAGATGAGATACACTATGAGGCTCGGTCTTGTGATGATGGTTATGTTCGTGAGTGCTCTTTTAATCCGGATTGGGTGGCTCGGAAGAGGAGAAAGACACTTGATCAATGGTCAGAAAAGGGTGGGTTCAGCTTATGGCAACGTGACAAGGGTGAAGGGTTTGATTTAAATCAAAGGCAATTTCCGATGTCGACATGGCTAGGCATTGGGGGGTAAAGGTTCGCCTCTTGCGGCTTCGAAAGGTGGATAGGCGCAAGGGAAAAAAGAGAATGAAATACTCTTCTTCCTCCTCCTTCTCAAGTCCCTCTAAGAAAAGGAAGGATGAGGAAGTGAATTCGCACCAGAAACTTGATGATGATGAGATGGAAATTGAGGTTCAACATGCTATTTGGAAATCTATGGATGAGTACTTAGGTGAGGTGGCTGCACCAGATCAGCTCCCGATGGATATATGAGGATCATTTCATGAAATTGCAGGGGTCTCAATGACACACTAGCCCCTGCACATCCATATTTAGTGTGGCTTATTTCCTCTAAATTTCCTATGTTCTTGTTTTTATCCGAAACTAAAATGTCTTTTGTTGATGTTAAACTTTTAGTTGATCCATTCACTCCAAATTTTTCTTATGGAGTGGATGCAGATGTTACTAGGGGAGGCCTAGCGGTCTTTAGTTGGTTTCAAGGAATTGTTACTTGTTTTATGTCTACTCCAAACTACATTTTGTGTAATATTGATGATGGTAATGGAATTAATAGAAATGTGATGTTTGTGTATGGTGAGCCTAAAGTAGAAGATAGATCTAGAGTTTGGGATGAACTTACAACTCTTCTCTCGATAACTCCTAATTGTCTCTTGATTGGTGATTTTAACCAAGTTGATTGCTTACAAGATAAACTAGGGGGTTCCTTAATCATAAAGGGGCTTGATGCCTTTATTGATTGGAGGCTTCTTAATGGTGTGATCGATGTTCCTTTCTCGGGGCCTCGTTATACATGGACTAATAAATGTTTTGAGAATGGTCTTATTTTGGAACGTTTGGATAAAGTTTTTTGCACGAATCAATGGTTTGAGGATTTTTTGGAAGGAAGAGTCTTGCATGAACCGATAATAGTTTCGGATCACGCTGCGATAACATATGATTCGGATCCTTCTAGGCCGAGGTCCAACCGGCCTTACCAACTTGAGAGGTGGTGCTTGCGTTACAATGATATTAAGGAGTTAGCTAGCGATACTTGGGATACTGTTTTGAATGGCTCAAGTATGTTTGTTTTGGCTAAGCACCTTAATAATTAGAACGGGTGCTCAAAAATGGTGCCTTGATAAGCGCACCTTTTGGGGTGTTAACTGGTGTAGCATCACGAATTCTTTAAGCATTCAAGGAAATGTTATTTCATCAGTTGAGGAAGGGGAAGAATATGTTAAATTGGTTAATGACATTATCCCTAAATGTAAACTATATTTTCATTACTGGCAACAATGGTTGAAAGATGAATGGATCAAAGAAGGAGATTTGTCTTCTACGACTCTCTTCAATAGGGCTAAGCAGAAACAACAACGGAAGGAGATTTTGACTCTCAAAAATGATGATAGTGAGTGGATTAGTGGCCATGATGATATTGCCAATTTAATTCAAGGCGCTCTAAAAAAGGTTTTTGTTCCTAGTGTTGTGACAAGTAATTCAGGTGCGGATGATATCGATTTGCTCTTCTGTGAAATAGTTTTCCCTCAATTGGAAGACTCTAAGGCAAGGGATTTGGTCAGACCTTTTACTGGCCAGGAAATTAGGAAGGCTATGTTTTCTATTCATCATCTCAAGTCCCCAGGGCCGGATGGAATCATAGCGGAATTTTTACACGTTCACTGGGAATTAGTTGGAAAATCTGTAATTGAGGCTGTTCAGCATTTTTTCAACACTGGTTTCTTGTTAAAGGAGTTTAATGCTTCTCTCTTAGTCATGCTGCCAAAGGTAGATCACCCGGAAGTTGCAGCTCACTTACGCCCTATTAGTCTTTGCAACACGATCTATAAATGCATTACGAAATGCATGGTTAACAGGATGAAAGGGTCTCTTCCTTCACTGATTACGAAATTTCAACATGCTTTCATTCCGGGGAGATATATGGAAGACAACATTTTTCTTAGCCAGAAGCTGATAGAGGAATAATTGCGTCGTTAAACAACTACACCTAAATCAAATACAATTTATAACACTCGACTTATACTAATACAAGTATATGGCAAGAAGAGGGGTCGAACCACAGGGAGAAGTGCATAAACACCGCATTCATCACTAGACTTTAAGCTATCTTGGGACAAAGGATAGGAATGACTAAGAGATTAAACTAAAGATAAAACGAGTTAAAATCAATATAACTAAACACCAAGGGAGATGGGTAGATGTAGATGCCGCTTGATCATGCAATAACATAAAATCAAATCAATAGCGAACTAAACATGCATGAATATCTATATAAGGTTCAATCTAACCGCCTTCCGGGGTTAATCGGTTTCTCCTAACATAGCCTCTATGTTTCCACACTAGAACCATATATTGGGAGGTGCGATCAAAGAACAATCGATAGTAATGAATCTCAACTAAGTCAACTTTCGTTCCTTGTTAGCAAAGATTCACCTTTAATCAACTAACAATGTGCACTTGCAAAAAGATCAAAGAATATCAAGCATGCAAAGATTTTAATCACAATTAAATAATCCCAATATTATAAGCATGAACAATTAGCAACTACACCATCCCCACACCCTTGGCTAAGTGACTACTCACAAATCATGTTGAAAACAATATCAATCACCAAATCAATAAGCATCAACATGATTAATAAGAAAAGAAGGATAATCAAAGTAAACAAGCAAAATTAAATGCAAAAGTAAAGAGAAGGAGTAAGAGATTGCTCATTAATTGAAGTTGAAGATCTACAAAAGATTAAACAAGCTTCTTCTTCAAAATCCAAGTTCATCAATGAAGAAATCCACACTTTCTCTCTCTACCAAATGAAGACTAATAGTGTTTCTCTCTCTAGATTAAGCTAAAAATTGTGCAGAAAATTAAAACTAAGTTAATCTAATTACACCAAAACATTCTAAAATGGGACTTATGTAGTCCGTACAGAGCCAGCTGAAATAGAGGAGTGGTCCGACCAAACACTGGGAAGGTTCGGCCGGACTACAGGGTAGGTTCGGCCGAACCATGGGTAGGTTCGGCCGAACCATGGGTAGGTTCGGTCGAACCTCCCTGATCCTGGTCTAGTCGAACTTCTGAGGTTCGACCACTCCTGCAAAATTGCCAAATTGCTTCTTGACTCTGCCTCGACGTTCGGCCGGACCACTGAGTAGGTTCGGCCACACCCTGGTTCGGCCACACCTTCAGGAGGTTTGGCCGAACCTCTTCTAAATCTTGCTTCCTTCAGCTTTCCTTGAGCTTAGCTTCCTCCTCTTGAAAACCCCGATGGTTCCTACAAAGCATAAGCATGGAAATCAAAGTAAAGAGTAGGAAAAAGGGGCAAAATCTACGAAAGAAGATGCATAAAGGGAAAGGGAACTAAGTGCAAAGAAAAGGATGCAAACAAGCCGTAAATGTGGGAAAATGACCATCAAAATGAACCTTAATCGTGGCATAGATGCCACTCATCAGGAGCCAACTCATGTCATATCTAGCACGAAAGTGAAAGCCCCAATGGCTGCTCTGAAGATTGACATGTCAAGGGCCTATGATCGGGTTAATTGGGTTTTTATTCTCAAAATTTTGAAAGCTTATGGTTTTCCTGATCAGTGGATTCAATGGGTGGAGCAGTGCATTACTACGGTCTCGTACAAGTCTTTGGTAAACGGAAGGGTTACGGAGTCTTTTAAGCCTGAGTGTGGACTACGTCAGGGAGATCCTCTTTCTCCTTACCTTTTCCTCTTTTGCATGGACATTCTTTCACGGATGCTTTTGCTTGCGGAAGATATTAATCTGATCAAAGGGATAAAGTTACGAGACGCTCTCCCTCCATTTCTCATTTGTTCTTTGCGGATGATGCGATGATTTTCTGTAAGGCTTCGCCCTCTTCTTGTAGCCACTTAGCTGATCTCCTACGCTAGTTTGAAAAGGTTTCAGGTCAACAACTTAATCTCCAAAAATCTTTTGTCCGTTTTAGTCCGTCGACTACAATCTTGGAGCGACAGGTTTTCAAAGATATCTTGAGGATGGAACAGAAAGATAATTTGGGGAAACATTTGGGGGCTCCCATTGATTTCACTAGGAAAAGGGCAGACAATTTTCGTTTTCTGGTAGATAAGATTGCTTCGAGGATTATGCAGTGGAGCTCTGTTAAGCTTTCACAGTCGGCCAAACTCGTTTTGATCAACTCTGTCCTTATCAGTATTTCTTCCCATGTGATGAAGTGCTTTAAATGACCGGATTCTACAGCAAATGCGATCGACTCCCTCATTGCCAGGTTCTTCTGGGCTTCAAATGGGGATAAGGGAATGCATTGGGTTAAGAAGGACATTCTTCATCTTCCAAAGGGATGGGTGGTCTGGGGATCAGGTCGATGAGAACACTTAATAAAGCAATGCTCTTCAGATAAGTCCAAAGAATGCACTGTAACCCTCAACTGTTGGCCGCAAGGGTGCTGTATCAAAAGGAGGTGAGCCCTCTTGCTACGGGTCGTAAGGGGTTTAAGTTAGGCCAGTCCCCATCGTGGGAGAGGAGATGTCTGTTCTCGGTGACTAATAGTTTGATTGAGGGTTTTTCTTGGAAGGTTGGCTCTGGGGAGAAGATCAAGTATGCTAACAATGGGTCAATGGAAAGGTTCCGATCATGGCCTCCAACCAATCTTTGAGTGGGGTAGGAACGGGTCTAGCTAGTGAGTTTTTGCTTAATGGTCCTAGAAGATGGGACATCCCTCTAGTGAGATCAAGGTTCGAATGGGAAAGTTCTAAGGAACTATCAGATACCCAGAGTGAAGACCTGTTATACTAGCCTCATCATAAGACAGTATGGTACACTACTAAGACAGGGTATGCCTTTTTACATGGGTTGAAGGGAAAGGAGTCTTATCATACTCAGTACAAGGAGGTGTGGAAGATTCTTTGGAGGGTGAATATTCCTCCAAAGTGGAGCCTTTTTCTTTGGAAACTTCTTTTGAATGGGCTTGCAGTCAAAGCCAACCTCCACCATAGGGGTATTCCAGTACAGGTGGGGTGTGATTTCTACGGGGAAGAGGAGGACTTCCAACACCTATTCAGAGAGTGTGTGGTGGCACAGTATGTGTGGAACAATTGCTCTCTTATTTTCAACTTGAATCTTGCTGAATCTACCCCTTTGCGACAATGGATTCAGACATATATCCTGCTCTTTTATAGCGAGGATGGCATCCATAGTGAGAGGATCACTAAGTTCATAGTGACCTTGTGGTGCCTTTGGAGAACTAGGAATGGTCGGGTTTTTCGAGGGAATGACGGTGATGGTGAGGTATGGCATCAACATATGGATAGGGCGAAGGAGGATCTTGATATTTTCCGTGGACGACAGGGTAGTAACTCCAATGGCACAAACAATGTGGATTTTCAGCCCCGGGTTTTACTTATGCTTCCTTGGGGATAGAGATTTATTCTCCAGACCATTTGCAATCACAACACAAGGAGTAACTATTCTTATTGATGGCTCGTGGATGAAGGACACTGACAATGCAGGGTTAGGTTGGGACTTTTCTTTAGATGGCAATACTTTCCAAGATGGGGGAGGCAATTTCTGTAAAGCAGTTTCCGCTCTTCATGCGGAGGCCCTTGCTTGTTTAATGGCGATTAGGTGGGCTACATTGAAAGGTTTTCCCCATGTATTTTTGCTCTCGGATTCTGCTAATTTGGTTCAAAGCCTTGATAATCCTCATTCAGCGGTCGTTAGCATTTGGTGGACTATCCGGGACATCCAGCAACTGGCTTCTACGTTAAGAACATGTGTTGTTTGGAAAGTAGGAAGAGACCAGGTCGGAATGGCCCATGATCTAGCTAATACTTGTCGAATTAGTTTTTATAGTTTTGCTACTTAGGTGTTTTGTGTTTTGCTGTTGTAAAAAAAAATAAAAAAATAAAAAAAAATAATCAAAATAAATTAACTGAAAATCACAAGTCAGCCAATAAAAACAAAGCAATTTCTACCAAAAACTTGGGGGCAAAACACTAACTAAAACTTGTAAGCAATTAAAGATAACATCCTAGATTTGCACCTAGGATTTTAGGACAACAAGAAAAAACTCTTTTACCAACGTAATTCTCCCTTTTTTCGAAAGAATTTGCCCTTAAATTCACATCACCTCCCTCTAACGCCCCTCCAGCCTGCCACTGCCGCCCCTCCCCTCTGTTGTCGTCGATGTCGTCACTCCTAACCTCTCTCTCTCTCTCTCTTAAAAAATATACTTCATTCGTCCCCTATTGATAGTACCTTATGGGCATTTTTCACGGGAATTAATAAACATAAATAAGAGTAGTAAAAGTACATTGAAAAAGTAAATTAACATTGGGTATGCAAAAAAGTAGAGAGAGAAAATAATAAAAGTATAGGGGAAAACAAAATTTATATGGAAAATATAAATTTGCACAAATAATGTTGCAAATTGTAGGGAATTTTTGGTAAAAAAATTAATATTAATGGTTGTTGGAAAAAACAAATGGGGTGAACATTTTAGGACTAAAATTTTCCCATAAAGGACTATCATTTGTGGACGGAGAGAGTTTAATGATACTTTATAGTTTACGATTATAAAAATGGTAAATTTAAGGTTCCAAAAGTCATTTGAACATGAAAATTCCAAATCTGAAACTTGTATATTGAACTTAACCATATAAACCACTAGTTGATGATACAAAAAGTTTTTTTTAAAAATAACAAAAATTTCTTGATTAGTTCATGGGTGGTTTCCCACATGTAGGGGTGTACAAAAATTGGCCCGGACCTGAAACCAGACCTGAACCGACATGAACCGGACCGGACCTGACCCGGACCTGTTGATTCAGGTCCGGTCCCGGTTCTTAAAAATCCAGGTTCCCGGTCCCGGTCCGGACCCGGTCCAAACCCGGGGTTTTCAGGTCCGGACCTGAAACCCGGGAAAATCGTAATTAAAAAAAAACAAAAAAAAAAAAAAGAAGAAAACCAAACTCTGAAAAATTGAAACTGAGTTTTCGTGGACTTATTTGTATTTTCGGTGGACTCATTTGTATTTTTGGTGTTTGAGAATCGGGACTTTATAGACTTTATGTAGTTTTGTAATTGATAATTTTGGTTTGTATGTAATTATTAAATTATGCAACAGGTCTAAAAATCACAAAACAGGTCCATATGCAGGTCCAACAGGTTTTGTATTAAAAAAAAAACGAAAAAGACACAAAACAGGTCCATTCAGGTCCAAACCCGGACCGGACCTGATTTTTCAGGTCCGGTCCCCGATCCTCATAATTACCCAATTCAGGTCCCCGGTCCAAACAGGTCCGGTCCAGGTCCGGTCCGGTTTTGGACCGGTGTACACCCCTACCCACATGTTAGGGTGTTTTTTAGATATTGTATGAGTGGTTTTCAACAAGGTGGTTTTTCGGAATCTATAGGTTAGGGCTAGTTTCATGGTTAGTTGAGTGGATTCCAGCGGGTTGGGGTTGATTTCCTTATTAGCACGGTAGTTTTCATAACCTATAGGTTAGGTGTGGTTTCCAGCGAGTTAAGGTAGTGATATGATGACTGATGTTATTAAGATGGTCATAAAATCTTTCTCACCAATGTCTAGATTCCTTCTGCTTTTGTGCGTTCTGAGAGGCACTTTTGGTGGCGGTGGTGTCGACTTTGGTGTTGGTGACTTTTGGTGGCGAGTTGAGGGTAATATTAGAGGGGGGGGGGGGGTGGAGTGGGGAATGCAAGTAGAAGAGTTTGGGGTAAGCATAGGGTAAAGCGTTTGATTAAGTTTGAAATTACAAATACCAACAAAGGGAATTAACCGTTTTGATTGTTTTTCCTTCTCCTGAATACCCATAGTCCCATACTAAACACCCCCTTGATATTAATTATTATATAACCGAATACTTTCTCCGTTTCATTTTATTTGACACATTTTTTTTAGTCACGTTTGTCAATTCACAAATTCAACTATTAATATCTTTAATTACCGGTAAGCAAATATTATAAAACGTCGATATTTTGTAAACATATATCGTGAAAAATCTGACAAGATTCTACATGACTATATTTTTTATTACATATAAAGCATAAAACACGATCCAAAAAAAAAAGTGTAAATAGTGCAAAAGTCAAAACATATCAACTAATAAAAAACAGAGGGAGTATGTTTTAATATAATCACAATCTCACATTGAGTGAATAGTACAATACTCCCTTTGTGTTTGATTAAGTGTTATACTTTTCAAATACAACCGTGTTTTTTTTTTAAATGTTATACTCTTTTTTCGCAAAAAACTACATTTTAATTTTCTCATAACCAAGAGATAGGATAATGGATGATTTACGTTACCTAGTTGAGGATTGAGGAATGGCCATTTAAATAGAGTTAAAGTAAGGCATCCGGGGAAAAGGGAGAGGGGGTTTTGAAGAAAGTAATGCAACCGAGGAAAAGGGAGAGGGGGGGGGGTGTGTGGTGGGGGTGGGTTTGGATTTTGATTTTGATTTTAAGAGATTCCATTATAAAATTCATGTTGTCAATGACTTTGAGCTTGCTATCAGAAATCACAGTCACCACATTTTGATTAATCATTAACACAGTTATCTGGAAAGAGCCCTCTTCTGTAACATAAACTGGTAGAGCATAAAAAATTGCCCCATATTGGATTACACCACCAGGACCTCAACTAAAAGAACTTCTACTAAACACAAACGAAGACATTCGTCAAAGTCACAACTCACAACTCCATATTTATCAAACTACACATTAACTATACGGAACAGAGGGGAAGGCCTTGAAGTACATATTACATTAATAAGCAGAAAACTTTTAAGGCGGATGAGCAGTTTGAATATTTAATGCTGGTGAACAAATGCAAATCAGCTGGGTCTCATTTTCCCCTACAAACATATATAAACAAAGCACAATTAATAGAAGGAGGGGGGATAAAAAGAATACAACAGAACACTAAGAAAATATATATAGGGAGTGGGTCATGTGAAAACAAGTGTAAAGCTGAAAACTAAAAACAGGCGATCTTGACCATTAAATTCTCATCCAACGGAGGAGATTATATCTATGTTAATACTGTGGGTTTTGTTCTTGATTTATGAATTGAAAATCCTTTCTCTCTCCTCTACTTTTTAATGTATTTTTCTCTCTCCTCCGTCTCATATCTCCCTGACTCCATCACACTCTTTCTCTCTCCTTCCCTTAAAAAATAATCAAATTACACACAATTTGCTTCAATGTCCATAATTTTTTATTAGCTTCAAAGTTGAACTAGAAATGTAAGTTTTTCGTTTATGTTTTTCGTTAATTGTGTATTTTCATTTATTTTTTTTTGAAAATCAAACTGATCTTTTGATTTAAATTTTTTGAGTTTCATAGGAGTAATTACACTTATTTGAGCTTTTTCTTGCTTAATCGAATTTCATAGAAGTGTAAATATGTTAAGATTCGACTTAATTCCTTCTTAGGGCATTATTGAGCTTAATTTGTATATGTTTTTTTTTTCATAATTTGAGTAGATAAGGTTTTTATGTGTTATTTTTTCTTGACTTTCTTCTGATTTCGAATGCAATGAATTTTATCTAATAAATTTACTCTTTTGTCTATTATAATAGTTTTAACATATGAGAATTTTACATAATTAAATTTGGGGATTTTGAGTATTTATAATCTATATGCGTCAGTATTGTAATTCTTTAGTTAAATCTGAATGTGCTTGTGTGTGATTTATATTTCTAAAAATTGTAGAATTTGATAATCACGTGGCTGAATTGTTGATTGTTAGAGGTCGAATTGGTGATGTTGGAGGCGAATCGGTGGAGCAATTGATGGCTGGGTTGTGTGGGTGTCCGATAGAGTTACGGTTGCTGATGTTGTGGTTTGACTGTTGTGGTGGTTATTGCGATAACTATGTGACTTCGCGGAGGTTGGTTGTGGATTTGGAGGGTGCGAGGTGGATGAACTACATTGCTGGCTAGGCGAATTAAGGTGGCTGGTGGTTGTGGGAAAGCGTAGCTACTTTATGTTGTTGGGTTGTGCTGAAGTAGGTGAGTGGGGGTGAATACTTGCAGGTTGCAGCAGAGTTACAAGGTTGTTTTTTTCGGATTTTTCACCAAATACCACTGAGTTTAAGCTTAATTCATCGTATACCACCAAAAACTTTGTAAACACCATATAACCTTCAGTTTTATGGAAATGTCACAACATGTCATTAATGACTAACGGAGGTTAAAACCGTTAGTCATTAAGGTTAATAATGCCACGTGGCAGCTTGTGATTTGTTCCCTTCTAAATAATTTAATTTTAAAATAATTATTTAATTAATTATTGAAAAAATAAAAAAATAAAAGAAAAAAAAAACCTACCACCACCAACGTTCCCCCAGCGAGCCACCACCAACGACACCCCCTGTCAGCCACCACCAATGAACCCCCTCGCCGGTGCGGAATCCGGCCAGGACCTCCGCCGGCGCTCCTCCTCTTCCCCTGAACTGTCGTGCCTCCCTCGAAAACCCCATTGAATCACCTCAAAAACCCCCCTACCTCACTCGAAAAACCGTCCACTAAACACCGGCCGACGTCGAAACCCCCCTCCCCCGCGTCAGCGAACGAATTTGCCTTGTCCCGATGCCATCTCCACCCCATTGAACCACCACGTATGCCGAAACCCTAAAACCAAAATCTAGGGTTTCGATTTTTGTGTTTTGGGGATTCGTGGTGGTTTTCGGCAAGTTTCGTGTTGAAGGTTAGAGGGATTAATCGGGGATGGGATGGAGGTTTTCGGCCGTTTTGCGAAGGTTAGAGGGGCTAATCGAGGCCGAGATGGAGGTTTTCGGTGATTTGCGAAGGTTAGAGGGGTTTTTCGAGGCTGGCTGGTGTTTTAAGGGTGGTGGTTATGGTGGTTTCGGGGGTAGGATTTGGGTCAAGGGGTGATTTCGAAGTTGGACTTAGATCGGCGGGGTGGTTGTTTGTATTAGGGGGTTCCGGCCGGCCGATTTCGAGGGTTTAGGGTGGCGGCCGGCCAGTTTTAGGTGGGCCTAGGGTAAGGGTTAGGGTTTCGTGGTGGCATGGGGGGTGGGTGTGGGTTTTTTTCATTTTTTTTTTTTTACATATTTTTGTTTTTGTTTTAAATTTTTTTATTTGGACCAATTATTGAGTGTCACGTGGCATTATTAACCTTAATGACTAACGGTGTTAACCTCCGTTGGTCATTAATGGCATGTTGTGACATTTCCATAAAACTGAAGGTTATATGGTGTATTAGAAAGTTTTTGGTGGTATACGGTGAATTAAGCTTAAACTCGGTGGTATTTGATGAAAAATCCGTTGTTTTTTTTAGTGTTTAGAGAACCACAAGAGCGAGGGTGAGAATCAATCCCAGAATCTCCTTGAATCAGGAAGGAACCTCTAACCACTTGAACTATCCCTCACTATCTCAGAGTTACAAGGTTGTTATTGCTGTTACAAAGTTGTTATTGCTACTTGTTAGTGTTGTATAAGTTGATGGTGGAGTGAAGGCTTAGGTGTTTAGGGGCAGGAACAAAGGAGGGGGGGCAGCAACCTTGTGAAGCAAAAGGACATTTGATAGTGGTTCCGCAGAAAACATTATTGTATGTAATGACCTTAGCATCAAGAAAATCTTGTCAAATTTTGACGTAATTACCTTATTTTTGTATATAATGACCTTAGCATCATGATGAAAATGTTGTAAAATTTGTTTCAGGACCTTATTTTTTTATATAGCAATCTTTATGTACATGTTAAAATTGATATAGTTACCTTATTTTTATATATAGTGACCTTCATGTAAATGGTGTCAAAAACTCAAAGTCGATATAGTTACCTTATTCCTATGACCATTATGTAAATGTTGTTAAAATTGATATAATTATCTTATTTTTGTATATAATAACCTTTGTGTAAATATCGTCAAAATTGATATATTTACGCTATTTTTATATATAGTGACTATGTAAATGTCGTGAATTTAGATAAAGTTACCTTAATTTAGTATGTAGTGACCTTTAAAAGGTTGAATTGATTACATGTGAGGTTGGAAAGATCTTAATGCTTTTGACTGTCTGATCTTTTGTGATAATAATGAATGGTTGAGATTTGTTGTTTTCAGCATAAGCCTTGCTTTTTAAGTATAAGTCTTCTTTTCAGTAGAGTAATATTGAACTTACGTATTCATCATCAGAGTAATATTGTCTCCTTTCAGAAGGATCCTCCCTAAACAAAAAGAAACAATGATAAATAAGTTGGACTTGAGATCAAGAAGTAACAGATCGAGAAATGATAGGATAGACGGTAAATTTTACCAAGTGATTTTCTGGTCTTCTTTTTGACATTCACTTCTTCTGCGTCGTCTAAAACTAAATTCATGTATTCATCAAAGCCCTGAAGAAGAGATCATGAATCAGTATATATAGAGTTCACACAGAGCCAGAGATGGATATCAGCAGCATCTATTGCAAATTGCAAAACAACTTTTGAGTTGAAAAAAGTACTTCTGCTCAGTCATATTCATCAACTCAGTACCACATAGTCCACATTAAGCATAAGATCAACCCCAGCACACTAAAAAAAATTCATAAAGAGATTTTTACTATTTTAAGTAGTTAAGAGGATCAGCACAAGTAAACCACATCTCAAAGGCTAAAGTAAATATACTGAATACTAAGGCCAACATCCATATCACCCCCTCCAAAATCAAGCATAATGAGTTGGTTTACCCTTAAGTTCTGATTTGATAGGCATATTCTAATAAATTAACAAAATTAGTCGCGCTACTAAGGCAACTTGACCGGGGATGCAGGTTTAAATTGATAAAGAAAAGAGAAAGTTCCGCTAGTAGAAATTTCTAACAAGCATTTGCATAGCAAGGTAGATCCATAGAGTTTGTTTACTCTATATGAATAAACTTATATTCAAACAAACAAGAAATTACACATCAATATAAGAATATGATAAATGTATTTAAAAATAATTTATTGAAAGATAAAACTCATTAGCTTCTTGTAGGCGTAGTGAGGATATTTTGTGTTTTTGGTGTCTGTTTGTTGGTGCACTACATATCCCTGATATTCTACCCCATTTTCTGTGGTAAGTTTCTTATTGGAATCAAGTTCATATGAATCATATCGTTACACCTTATTCATATTTTTTTAGTTCGGGTGTCTTAAAAAAAATATTACACATTGATCAAGACGTGGTAAGTTTGGATGGAAAGGAATTGACCATGAGTGAATGGTTGGATGGAAATGAATTGACCGGGGTGGCTTAAATGGAGAGTGGCCACAGGATAGTTATGTGACCGAAGCATTCTCTTACATTTGAAGGTAAAATCCTACAGCCCTCTATGGTACAAAATGTTAGGCTTCTAAGAAGAAGCACATTAAGAAGATGGAGATTACGGAAATGCGCATGTTAAGGTGGATGTGTGTAAACACTCTAAGAGATAAGATCATATATGAGGTTATTCGCAAGAAAGTAAGTGTGGTTGCAGGCATTGGAGACAAAATAAGGGAAAACCGCCTGCGTTGGTTTGGGAATGTAAGACGGAGACCCGAGGGTGCACGGGTTCGAAGAGTGAAAGAGTGGGACCATGGGGGGTTAAACGAGGGAGAGGGAGAGCGAAAACAACTTGGTTGGAAAGAGTTAGGACGAATATGAAGTATATGGATATGCATGAGGATGAAGCATTGGATCGTAAGGAATAGAGGAGGAAGATTTTTGTGGATGACCACACAGAATAATCAAATTTGGTTCATGTAGCCGAACTCACTTATAGGATTAAGGGTTTGATTGATTGATTCGTTTTATCAAGTTATTCCTTAGACCCTCTCTAAAATAAAATAAATAAGTAAATAAGTTATTCCTTAGATACTTACTACTTGTAACTTATTGTCTTAAATATTTGTGCTAAACAAAGATGTATACTTTATTGAGGGATAAAGGGAGAACCCCAACTTATAATAAATTGTAGTCCTGATTAAGTTTTGATTATTGGCTAACATATTAGTATGGTCAGCCAGGATCCAAAAGAGAAAATCGCATATGTATACTGTTACATCACAGATTAGGAATGAGAGCAGTAGAGTTTGATTAGTCACTGCAAAAAAAATTGGGAATTAGGGCTTGATTAGGTATGGTCTCTTTCAGTTTTTTTTTTTTAAAAAAACCTTTGTATATTTTAATGTGTTGCCTGCCTACTATTCAAATTGGACAACTTTCACTTTTAACTTATTGAGCTTTGCTAGTTAAAATTTTAAAAGGGAAAGGACAGTTTTTAAAAAAAATAATTGGACCAAATCCACCATTGGGCCGATGACCAAAGCATAGGCTTTGTCCTTTTCACCTGAAAACCATTATCTGAACTTATCTTTGAGTTGAGCAAATCACACAATTTTTATAGTTCAGAATTGAATATGGGCAGTTGTTATTGGAGTACCTTATTAAAAGTTATCTGACTTATATGACCTAAAACTGATACTCCGTATTATTTAAGGTAAAAATAACAAAGCCTCTATCCTTGTAATAAAAATTCCTAGCTGTTTGACCTGGTAACTTTGGCATATTATTCCATGTATATATCGTAGTGGATTTCTTGATAGTGTGTCCAAATTCTAGCAAGTTTTCTTATACATCCTAAGGACACCGTGGCCTAATAGATTTTTTTTTTGTCTACCAGATAAACTTTTCATTGAGAGTGTTCTCCCTCTCGATATACAGTCAGTTTTATTTTCTGAACCTCTTATTTTATTATGTTCAACAGTTAAGGAAGATCTGCTTGATTACATTACAATCCAAGTACAGAATATTCAAGGTGCTAAATCTCTTTATAAAGGGGAACCTTTATTGTATACGATTGAATGGCAAGAAAGTGCAGTTGGAATAAATTTAGTTCAAGCTATTACTCTCTATGGGTATGAAGGGAAACTACAGGCCCATCATAGGCATTTCAATTTGGTTTTGTTTAGCTTTACTACTTTCATAGCCAAAGGGTTATCACTTCATATGGTTTTGTTCAGATTTACTACTTTCATGTTATGCATTACTTGTTCAATTAAATCTAAAAAGATTTAAAATTGATAGCCAACGAAAAAATTCTCTGCAAAGGGCTATATTATTAATACAGAGGACTAGAGGAGTGCTTGGGAGCTTATGATTGTATTATAACCAGGGTAACATTACATTAGGAAGATTTTTAGCTTTCCCATTATCTGTATTCTTATTTGGCTTTCTCCAAGGCTGGCTCTAGAACTATTGCAGATGCACAAGGACTACCCATCATATTATATGATTACATTGCTGGCAGGTATCCATTAGTAATTTTTAAAGTAAAATTTTGAAATTAAAGCCTGAATTTGTCCATTGTTTTGATGCTCAGTGGCGAAGCCACAGTATGTCCTGGTAGGGCACGTGCCCTGCCAGGTTTTTTCAAAAAAAAAAAAAAAAAAATTTGTCTAAATTTTGTTTAAATAGAATATAAAGTGCATTATTATGTTATAGCTTACTAGTAGCCTAGTGGTTAGAGCTTTACCTTTTCAATCAAAGGTCATGGGTTCTAATCTTTTGCCCAACATTTTTGTTATTTTTTTCATCTCATTGTTTATTCTTCTTAATGTCCCCCCCCCCTTTTTTTTTCTTTTCTTTTCTCTTAATGTCCTTTTTATCCAATTTCCTAAATAACACAAAAACTTACCAACATAAAAGTTTAATTTGATCACATTGGGCAAGATTACTTTTCTACCTAATATAATGAAATTGATGATATAATAAATATGCTTTCAAAACTTGAAAACTAGTCAAGTTTAATTTTAACATTTCTTTTTACATATACGAGTATACTTGAATTATTAGTTATAAATCCTTATAATTAGTATTTTGGATAATCCTATTTGATACGAAAGATCTATCTGATTCCAAAACTATTATAAAAGATCTAAAAAAAATATGAGCGAGGTTATTGTTTAAAGCCTTGAATAGGGGTAATATTTTATGTATTTTTGTATAATAAAGGTTTGACAAATACGATTGCTAAGTAATTTTGAGTCTTGATATTATGAACATTCTTTGATAAAAGGGTTTTAGATGATACGGTGCCCTACCATCGTAAAAATCCTGGCTCCGCCACGGTAGATGCTTGCTCATAACTTGAATTGAGGAGTTTTAGTTTTGCCATATATACAACCTAATGTTTTTTATAAATCATGAAACATTATGTTTTAACTAAATTTTCTGATTTAATCGAAATAGAAACCATAATTCAGATTTTAAAAAACAAAAAAAAAAATAAAAAAAAAAACACCATAAAATTTCATCACAAAACTAGTAACAACTACTCAGTAAGAGGAAAATCTTACAATTATACGGCCTTCAATCCTCGCATCCTTTTGCTCAAACAACCAAATCTGAATACGAGCTTTCTGCATTCAAAACAAACAAATTAAACTCAGAATAATAAAGGCAATTAAACGAAAGATAAATGTTAAATCTGGTATAGCTATGAAACTGGGGCTTACGCTTTGAAGAAACCTGAAAATCAGGTTCTGGAAGATTCGAAAATCGGCGAAAAAAAAAAAAGATGCATTAGACTAAAATTAAATGAACATAAGAAATGTAAAAAAGACAAAAACGACATGAAAATGGAAGTGAAACTACAATAGGTTGGGTCATAATCCTCTGGACTTTGGTGCTCGCCATTATTGCTGCTTCCAAATTGAATTTGCTGCTGATTTTCGAAAATTGGTTTTCTTGCTAAAACCCTAGCTAAACACTTGAATTAGGGAAACCTAAAAAAAACACTCGAAGAGAATTTGTTTGGCTGCTACGCAGATATGGGTGAGTCACTGAGTTGATCCTTCTACTATTTCGTAATAGTAGTACGGAGTAACATTTTATTTTTACATCCGTCTGATATTAAAACTAGTTTGTAGATCCGGGAGATGCCCCGGATTTTAACATGAAATTAATCATTAATGTATGTTATAATTTATGATTATATTTTCTTGTAATTAAATTTGTTGTTTATATTGTCATTTGCTACATATTAATATCTGCAAGATTCAAATCTTGTGGTGAGCATTTTTTTTTACGGAAATTTCATCAAATGCCCCTGAGTTATTTTTTTATTCACCAAATACCCATCAAAACTTTCAAATTCACCAAATACTCCTGAATTTAAGAAAAATGTCACCAAATGCCCTTAATGACTAATGGCGGTTAACACCGTTAGTCATTAATGACTAATATGTAGGGGTGAGACTTTTCAAACCGAATCGCGAAACCGCCCGTTACCGAACCGAACCATCACGGACCGATCCGTTTATAAACCGATAAATATAAACCGAAAACCGAACTGAACCGTTCAATATCAAACCGAAACCGAATTGAACCGCTCAATGTCAACCCGTTACAGACCGTAAACCGATAACAAACCAAACTGCGCAAATCCGAACCGAAACGAAACCGAACCGAATGGTTTATAAACCCGTTAATGACCCGAACCGTTTATAAACCGAAACCGTTTAAACCGAAAAAAACCCGTTTAAACTGAACCATTTGTAACCCGCTAACCGTTTAAACCGACCCGTTTATGAACCGAAACCGTTAAAACCGCACGTATAAACCGAACCGTTATAATCCGCTAACCGTCTAAACTGAACTGTCATAACCCGTTAAACCGTTAAAATCGAACTGTTTTCGAATCGCAACCTGTTTAAACTGATCCGATTACAAACTGCTTAACTCAAATTGAATTATTTACAACCTAAATGGCTAAATAGTAAATACAATTAATGTTAATAAATGTAGATCTAATCAAACGGCTTAGGTTTATACAAAGGTTTATATCACCTAGATCTAGGCCAACGGCATTATTAATATCGTTTTAGATACTTATTTATTTTAATTACAAGATATATCATTTGTATCATTTTCATTCCAGTAATAATGCTAGTCCACCCAAATTATCTTCATTGTTCCTTGATATTCATGATCATCCAATAACACTCAAAGCCTCAAAGGTAACATAAGATTGGAGATGTATGAGATTGCGTTACACAAGTGGCATAAGCATTAGAATATTAATGTACTAGTCAATAAGGCGTACAATCATTCACATTATCACTTTATAAAACTTTCTTATACAAGTATTTTGTAAAGGGGAGGACTAAAATGTTTATAAAACACATTTTTTTAGCTTTTCTTATATTAAACCAGATATTAAGTAAAAGAATTTTAATAAATACGGAGGCATCCCAAATCTGTAGCCACAATTATTTCATAACATTACCACAAATCCAGCAGATAAATAGCATTGAAATTAGAGTAATATCAACAAGCAATTAAAAAAGTCACCATTTTCATTGATTAAAATTCACAATACATATACCAATACATAATGAAACTACTATCACTACTACCCAGATTAGATTTCAGATTTATCAACTGAAACATCATCAAGTTTAGGGTTGCAAAAAATGATACATTATAAGATGAAGGGAGGAGGGAGAATGTGAGTGATTTGGGAGCAGAATCTTGAAGCAGCAGCACAACACCCAAGAGCAGAGGAAATAGCAGCAACAAGCAGGAACCAGCACACGGAATAACAGATCAACAACTTATCAGAAGCAAGGAATAATATAAGCAGAAGGGACTGAGCAGGAACTTATTTTTGTTTTTCAAAATTGCTCTCAGATTTACGTTTATCGTATCATCACTGAGCAATGGCTGTTTTAACTTAAAACTTGAAAAATGATGCCAGCAAGTACATATACATTGAAGTCTCAACATAAATGACAAGGGCAACGATGAATCAAGAAAAATTAAAACAGCAAGCATAAGAAACAGCAGCAACAAAACTTATCATAAATTCATAACACAAAAGGCAACAACACAGCACCTCAAGCTGGCAGGAGGCAGGAACCAGCTCATGCAGGCAACAATATAGGCAATAACAACTCAGCAGAGACAACAACCAAAAGGCAAAAGCACTACCAGCAGGCAACAGCTCATAACAAGTTCAAGCAACTTCAAAATTATAGCTTTTGTTTTTTTAAAATTGCTCTGAGATTTACATCACTGAGCAATGGTTGTTTTAACAAAAACTTAAGAAATGCTGCCAGCAAGTACCAAAATACATTTAACTATTTAAGTCTCAACATAAATGACAAGGGCAACGATTTTAAAAGTCTTGAAAAATGCTGCCAGCAAGTCTGAAAATAAATGACAAGGGCAACGATTTTAAAAGTCTTGAAAAATGCTACCAGCAAGTCTGAAAATAAATGACAAGGGCAACGATTTTTCAAGATAAAATAAACCACAATGAGACACAAATACCAGTTATGCAGATGAAGCACTTTCGGCTTCAATTTCTTTACCAATAAGGAGGACGTCTTCCTCAACATCCGCGGCACCAATTTTGGGTGGTAACCAATGCCTCAACATTCTTTGGCAAAAGTTTACCCCTATATCTTCAAAAAGAAAAAAGCATACATAAGAAAAGCTTAAACTTTTTCAAAAGTTTCCAATGAAATTATGAACATATAAATAAACATGAGATGTTTATTTTACTAGCCCTAAACTAGCATTTATTTTATGCACATAACTGCAGAAAGTGACACAATTTGGTCTTTTCTTAGGTAAAAAAGCCAATAACCACATAATCTGAACAACCCATCATCATTACTTTTAAATCGAGCATAATAAACAACAAAACAACACAAATCTACCATTTTCCCGTAAAAAACAAAAATACAATCAACAACAGATTTTAGGCATATTTCGACTATATTCAAGCAAGAACAGCAACAATAATCAAATACAAAAACAGAAAAACTGTATTAAAAAAAACGAAAAGGAAAAAGTAATTACCTTTGACGACTTGAAGGAGATTTGAAGATGGAGAACTGCCTGAACTGGAGATCAAAAGAAAAAATCAAGAATGTAGATTATTAGAACTTGAAATAAAAAAACCGAAACGAAAACGAAAAAAATCGAAAAAATTAACAAAAAAATTACCTTGAGGTTTGACGGCTTGAAGGAGAGGAAGATTTGAAAAAAAAAAAAAAAAAAAAAAACAAGAATGGAAAAGTTAGAAATCAGAACTTTGGATCCAAAACAAAAATGAAACGAAAACAAAAACCCTAAATAAAAAAAGTAAAAAATTGAAACGAAAACGAAAAAAATCAAAACGAAAACAACAAAAATTAACAAATAATTACCTTGAGGTTTGACGGCTTGAAGGAGAGGAAGATTTGGAAAAAAAACGAGAATGGAAAAGTCAGAAATCAGAACTTAGATCCAAAACAAAAATGAAACGAAAACAAAAACCCTAAATAAACAAACCGAAACAAAAACGAAAAAAATCAAAACGAAAACAACAAAAATTAACAAAAAATTACCTTGAGTTTTGAACTTTTGACGGCTTGAAGCCTTCAAATTGAAGGAGTGGAAGATTTGAAAAAACAAAAAAACGAGAATGTAAAGCGAGAAATCAGAAATGTAGATCCAAAACACAAATGAAACGAAAACAAAAACCCTAATTAGGATTTTTAAAAGTTGAGAAGTTGAGCTTGAGATTCTTGAGAATTTCAGAACGAAAGAGTGAGAAACTAAGAAGTTAGAGAGAGAAACTATGAGGGAGTAAAACGGTTGAATGGCTGATAGAGTGGGTTTTTTTTTCTAGGTTTAGGTTTTACTTGTTCAGTTGATCTAACCGTCCATATTCAATCTCAACATCTAACCATTCATTTTTTTTTTGTAGATTCCAGAATATTCATCTAGATCTAACGGTCTAGATTTTTCTTTGTGCTTTTCTAGGTCTTTTTGACCGTTTTTTTTAATTATTTATTATTATTATTATTTTGAGGGATTATTATTATTATTATTATTATTATTATTATTGTTAGTATAATTATTTGTTAATATTATTATTATTACTAGTTTACTACTACTATTATTATAATATTATTATAATAATTATTATTATTACTATTATTACTATTATTATTATTATTATTATTTATTATTATTATTATTATTATTATTATTATTATTATTACTATTATTATTATTATTAGTTTATTACTTATAAGTTATAAATTGTAAGAAACGCAAATGTTTCAAAATTGAAATTGATTCAATACGACATAGTTAATGACTTAATGAGTTAATGCACATCAATATCTGACATCTCTATATGTATATTATATATATCTGTGAGTCTGTGACTGTATATCAGTATATATATATAATAAACTAATAATAACTTAATAAGTAATACTAATAACTAATAAAGTAATGAAAATCTAACCATTGTTTTTTCATGGGCATTCAATCTAACCGTTGTATATTTGACTATTCGTACATTAGTATTGCATAATGATTTCATCACCACTTTAATTAGTGATTTCGTGATTTCGTCCATTTAACTTATTAAGTTGTTTGAGTTAGTAATCTAAATAAAGTAACAAACTAAATAACGAATCCATTTAATCTCGTGTAAGTTATAATTTATAAGAAATGCAATGTTTGGAAATGGAAATTGATTCAATACGATATTGTTAATGTATATGTAATTATAGATTAATTATTATGTATATCATATCGTACGAATGTACGGTTGGTATCATTATCATACTATCATAAGTATCATTGCCTCATTGAATTATTGGTATGTACTATAATCGATAAACATATTTACATATCTGATCATTAAAACTTAAAAGTTTAAAACACTTGTTGATCAATCTAATTGAATACTTGTACATTCTTAATTATCGATTTATCTTATTATAAGTATCAACTCATTAAATCATGGTCATGACGCGATCTTTAAAACAATCATGAATTCATGACCCAAACCACTTATAAACCGAATCGACATGATCCAAACCGTTCATAAACCGAACCAATT